TTTTAATTTTTAGCATTTAATCCATTGTTGTATACCAATATATACTTACTGATAATTCTATATATTAATCTTATTATTTATATATATTATAACATTTTAAAAATCAACGTGAAACGTAAATTATAATTTTAATTAAATTATTTAATTTAATTAAAATTAATTAATTATAATTTTAATTAAATTAAATAATTTAATTAAAATTAAATAAATTAATTTTAAGAAAAATAGTATAAAAATAAAGTATCATCGATCGCTATTATATTATTATTTGTTGGATGACTGAATTTTTTATATTTCCATAAAATACAGAATATAAATACTTTGAAATTATATTTCTTAATTGAAACAAACTTCAGAATGTGAAAGTATAAAATAAAATATTTATTCAAATATTAGTTTTAAAATAATTAATATAAAAGCATAAAATATTAATTATGTTTGAATGTTTATTTTTTTATATATATATATATTTCTAATTAGACGCTGTAGATTCTTTCTTTTTTGAAAATTCCTCATAACCTAAATAAGCAGCTTCGCAAAATAGTACAACAAAATTAGCTGAAAAAAAAAAAGATAAAAGATTTAAAACATCGATAAAAATAATTTCGAATAAAATGTAAGAGACAGAATTACCTAATAATAATATGCCAATTTTGAATTCGCTTCTCGTTGGATCAACTTCATCTATATCTTCTATATAACTTGCCCTTATAATACCACTTATTCCACCTATTAAGTGGAAAACAACTCCAATAGTGAAATATATCAATTCCTATAAACGAGAATATTTGTTATACATTTGCTCAAATGATACTTCAAATATCTGTTTCCTTTGAGTCAAATTTGAGAAAATAATTTTGAGAATTATATAAAAATTAAAAAAACCATAGAATTTGATTCGTGTGTAAAATATAAGTTTGAAAATTAAGTATGTACACACGCTTGATTTCAGTGTAATTACTTCAAAGTATCACTCGTATAACCTGAAATGATTTTATTTCTTAAATTTTATACGATTTATTTTATTTCCAAATAAAATTAATTCAATAAATTAAAACTAACTGGCAATTTACGAGATTTCTCGAACATTTGAGTCAATCCTATGGAAATATAGACGATAGAGTATGTGCAAGAATCGATGCAATAAATGACCCATAGCCATCTTGGTATCATATATTCTTTGTGCTTCAACAATTCGTATATGCATACCCCAGCTATGATCTAAAATATGGGTAGATATTAATTTTTGGATCAATGGATTTTGAAAATTAATGAGTGATTACTTGAATGGAAGATTATTATTTTACCAGCTTGTGTATTTTCAGCAGATAACTGAAATCCTTAAGTAAGTGACGTAAATAATCCAGTATATTCATGTTTGTCACATCAAACTAACTTTGAATCGATTAAAAATTTGATGTTGGATGAGATAAAATCGATCTTCTCATCGAAATATTCTCGAAATTTCATTTAAACGAATAACTCTGTTCACTCTGTTGCTATACTATTCTAACTATCTTCTGACGGTGTCTTCAATGATAAAAAACATGAAAGAGAATTTTAAGAATAATTTTCTTTTTATACCAGAGAATATATTCTTGCGTTGTACGATAATTAAAAAAAAAAAAAAAAAAAAAATGATTGATTCGAAAAATTTGTCGAAAGAAATGTATTATTGTATACGTACAACAATTATAATAATACAAAAAATTAAATACTATTTCATATGCATTATATATATTGCATAAATAAAATTAATTTATCAAAATTATATAAAATTGTTTTAATAGAGAATTAAAAATTCTAAAAATATTTATCGACGTACAAGTTTTATATTTTTCTATATTAATTAAATATTAGTAGAATTCTTAATTTTCTATTAATTTTCTATTGATTTTTTTAATACATATATGATTAATTATCGATTTTCTGAAATATGAAAATTGTTTCAATATGAATTATGTATGTATATTGAATTTTTATTGTAATGAAAGGATTATTATCGATGATGATACCGATTTAAAAAATACTGGTTCTATACTGCTTCTTTTTACATGAAATTTTTTGACTTTATTCTAAAAAATTATCGGTATTTTTCGCAAAATGGAGAAAACTCAATATTAAGTCGACGAGATACGCTGCACCCTCGATAACGCATAATGCTCCAACAGCTAAGCCGATCTAAAAAAAATTGTTTTAAGAAATTTAAATTAATAAATATACAAGATATTAATACAAAATATTAAACATAATCATATTTTTATAATAGAATACAATATGAGTTATATAATTTGTCCAATAATTTCTAAAACGAGATATCAAAGCGAAATTATTTATTTATTAGACAAAACAAATAAGACAAGATGCAAAGTTTTGAAATTTATTTAGTGGACAAATTACGTGAATCTCATATGCATCCCTATATAATTATCGAAAACAAAATTTTAATAAATAAAAATTCGATTAAAAAATATAAATTACCTGTCGTTCTTGAACAATCAAATCGTATTTATTTTCCGGTTGATAACCATGCCAATAGTGAAGCGCTGTACCTCCCACAGCGATGAACATAAAGGTTCCAACGAAATTCATTATAATTTCCTGTTAAAGAAATTAACATTCGAATAATTTTTTACAGCGATAGAAATTAATTTTTGCACGATAAAAATATTTATATTTACGTAAATCCGACTGTAACAGATTTTTTCGTTCTTAAAATTATTCAAAATTGATCTTACGACAAGTGTCTTCTTGTGATACGTGCTCCCAAAGCAGTAAGTGATTAGAACAACGCTGGTGTATATGAAAAATCCGACCATAACTCCGGATGCAACGATTTCTGCGTCTGGATTTTTATCTTCGTTTAAATTCCATGTTCCTCCGACACCCAGGAATTCTCCTTTGTATCCCGTTCGATACAGGATCAGGATTATTATATTAATAATCTGAAAGAACAATTGTCAATCAGTTTCAAAAATTGAATCGAAATATTCAGAAAAGATTGAATTCAATCAAATATTTTTATTATTGATATTTTGAATTTAAGAGGTAAAAGAAGATGTTATTTTTTTAAAAATTTCATTTTTTTTCATAAGTATGAGAGTGCAAAATAAACATTAGAAAATATCTTTCATTCTCAATATAATTTGCAAAAGTAATTCTTGAGTTTACTCTTAAATATCCATTCGTATTATTAATAGTGCATCGTTGCACTATTATGATCTTTTCATACCACTCAACTTTTCCCAAGAACATTTTTATCTACCTCTCGATCAAATTTCAGATATATAATCATGATTAATTTATTTATTATTATATATCTAATTGTGATAATCTAATTGTGTAACAACAAATCGTGATTCGTGAAGATTATTGTGCGTTTGATCATGCACAGATGTATCTATATACAAAAATCGATCAGAGAAAAATATTTCATATTTTTATTATATACAGTCTTTCTATTAAATTTTCTAAAAGTTAATTCTCTACTATAAAAATACTACGAGCTTAATATCGCGATATCGTGTAAATTAAAAAAAAAAGGGCGTCGTAATACCATTACAAACAAGACGGTTTATCGTGTACTGATAAGGACAAAAAATGAATCATGAAACTATGTGATAAATATTTCTTGAATGAGAAATTCAATTACGATGATTTATCAACGTAAGGGCGTAAGGATATTTGGCAGATCCGGGGTTATTAATCAGATTCGATCGTATTATCGATGCGCAATTAAACGTTCGTAAAATCGTCCCCATTTCTTCGATAAATAAAAATCACAATTGTTGGTTGTTGAGGTCCATATAAATCACGACTTCGCTATTATATGTGTACTATTATTGCAAAGTAAATTTATCTATAAGATAATCGATCATCTATCAATAAAAAAAATAATTCTTTTTAATATATATCATATTATTCATTCGTTATTCTTGTAAATTAAAAATAACTAATCTTTTGTAAAAACGATGAAAAATTTTATATCCACGAAATTTGTGTATCATTGATTCACATTAATGCTCGGGCATTAATTATTTTATTTATGTAAAATAGAGCTATTTAATTATTCTTGTTATTTATGAACGTATATAAAAATTTTGTCGAGAAAAAACAAGATATTTTAATAATTCTTTCTCCAATTAACGAAACTAAAATAAAATCCGAATATTAATAAGAATATATTGTTTAATTTGTTTAATTGTTATTTATTATTATTAATTCAATTTTAATATCCTCTCTATTATTCACGAATTATCGATTTGTTTTATTCCATTTGTTTACAATTGGATAATTGATCGGTTAGTCAAAGAATTATTTTCCTCACCAACTTGAGAACTTTTATCACTATACCCGCGACAGTTTCCAAAGACACCATGTTTAGTTTTTCGATGCTCACTCTTCACGATCAGAAACAGGTGGATCTGAAGTAAAAACGTGCTGGTTTCGAGAGTACTAAGCCCTCTCTTTATCTAATCAGATGATACAGCGTATGCATGTATGAAAGCGGGATAAGACGTGTAAAAAATAACACCCGTACATTTATACCGTATTATCTCTCGAACGATAATATACATATACTATATATGTATATATATATATATATATTTGATGCCATCGAAACGATATTTTCAACTCTTCGTTCCCTTCAAAAAATAACGAAAATAATTATTCTCTACGCAATGCGTTAAATGAAAAAAAGAAAAAAGAAATATCTTTTAATTATATTCAAATATTTATCAACGATGATTCAGAATGTTATGAATTTTTCCAAAAAAAGATAAAAACCAGTTTTCCACGTATCAGATTTTCCTCTTCCTTCCTTCTCAATCCACGAATATCGTCGTCATTTTATATCTATTAAAAATATCTTTTTTAACCATTCTTTTTTCTTTTTATTTAAAATTCTTTTTATTTAAAATTAATAAAAATTATTTTTTATTAAAATTTAAAAGGGTAAAATATTATTCGATATTACTTTATGTTCGATGTTATTCCAGGAGCTGGGCCTGGCCATTACCCCTGAACAAATCGCGGAAATGGAAGCCCACGTGAACGACATCGACTTCGAGGCAGCGGCGAAGGAAGAAAAGGCCACCAGACACGACGTAATGGCTCACGTCCACGTTTTCGGGAATCAATGCCCGAAAGCGGCTCCCATAATCCATCTGGGGGCGACAAGTTGCTACGTTGGTGACAACACGGTAATATATATACATATAAAAGAAATATCTTAGAACCATTCGTTGTTACACCTTATCCGTTGCCATTTTTCAAGGATTTAATCGTTCTTCGCCAAGGATTTGATATCCTTCTTCCGAAATTGGCTAATGTTTTGTCGCGCCTCGCCAAATTTGCGATGATGTATCGGGAGTTGCCAACATTGGGATTCACTCATCTTCAACCTGCGCAACTTACAACTGTTGGAAAACGAGCAACGTTGTGGCTGCACGATCTTCTGATGGACGAGAGAGCTCTTCGACGAGCCAGGGACGATCTGAAGTTTCGAGGCGTGAAAGGCACGACCGGCACCCAAGCATCGTTTCTTCAGTTGTTCAATGGTAAGTTGCTTGTTCGATAATTATTTTATCAAACGGATTGTAAGAATCTTGAGATCTTTCCATCTCGAAAGAAGATTTCTAATTAAATTCTTGTGTGGTTTTCAATTCTTCAGGCGATGGAGAAAAGGTAAAGAAGTTGGATCGGTTGGTAACCAAAATGGCGGGATTCGAGAAGTGTTATCCTATAACGGGGCAAACTTATAGTAGAAAGGTCGATGTGGAATGTTTAAACGTTCTAAGTTCCTTAGGATCCACTGTCCATAAGGTGAAAGAGTATCTTTATTTTATTTTTTAAAAAATCAAGTATTTTATTTTCAAAAAATTAAATTTGAAAAATTTTTCTTCTGAATGATATTTTCATTTTCTTTTTAAAATTGATGTTGGTAATTTTTATATCTTCAGATATGTAGCGACATTCGATTGTTGGCAAGTATGAAAGAAATCGATGAGCCATTCGAAAGCACTCAAATTGGATCAAGTGCAATGCCATACAAAAGAAACCCAATGCGATCAGAAAGATGTTGCAGCATAGCAAGGCATTTGATGTCGTTGGTTAACAATGCTTTACAAACAGCAGCTACTCAATGGATGGAAAGAACATTGGACGACTCTGCCAATAGGAGAATTACCCTTTCTGAAGCATTTTTATCCGGGGATGTGATTTTAATGACACTTCAAAATATTACAGAGGGTATGATCGTTTATCCCAATGTCATTGCCAGGCACATCGACCAAGAATTACCTTTCATGGCTTCAGAAAATGTGATAATGGCTATGGTAAAAGCTGGAGGTGATAGACAGGTGCGATTTTTATTGTTTGAATTATTAGTTGATCAGAGTAGATAGATATTTAAAAATCTGTAATTTGAATGAAATATTATTGTTATTATTAATATGATATACTTGTGTCAAGATCTTTGGTCATTTGTTCAGGAATAGCAATTTCAAAATTGAAAGAAAACTAAAATTTTTTTTGAAAAATTGAAATTAAATTGCATTAATTTGGAATTAACATTTTTATTAATCTCTTGAATATTTTAAAGTTTTATTGAATTTCATAAATTTAAATTAACAATGAATTATTGCTATTTCGAACTATCTCATAGAAAAATTAATATCATATATAAAATTATCAAAGAAAAAAAAAAAGAAAAATATTTTAACTATTCTCTCTATCATAGAAAATCAATGTTATTCTTCTGTAACAGGTTTGTCACGAAAAAATAAGAGTATTGTCCCAAGAAGCAGGTGCACAGGTGAAACAATATGGCAAGGACAATGATCTAGTCGAGAGGATTAAGAAGGATCCTTATTTCAAACCAATCCTCGATCAATTGGACAATCTTCTAGATCCACGAACTTTCGTTGGCAGAGCACCTGAACAAGTCATTGAATTTTTAGAAGAGGAAGTTCAACCTGTGCTCGAAAATTATCAAGGACTATTAGATGAAAGCGTGGAACTCAATATTTGATTAAACTTGAATTTTTTTTATTTTTCGCAGGATTTTCTTTTCTAATCCTAATTTTTTAATTCTTCGATATAGAATTTTTTAATTCTTTTCTTCAATTTCTAATTTTTTAAATTTTTTCTTTTTTTTTTAATTTTTTCCCTGCTATTTTTACGTATTTCGAAAGCAAAACAAAGCGTATACAAGATATTGTTATTATTTGTAAACTTTACAAAGATCAGAACTGAATAAAAATCAGGACAATTGTAAAGCGGATCGTTTCGCAATTAGGCGCACGCTTCTTTCGTACTGAATGTTTTCTTCTTTTATTAACCCTTTCGTTATAATTCTTTGCCAATATTTTACAATATAGAAATTGAACGAAACAATTCCGCAAAAATATATCAATTAAGAATACTAGATAGAAATTTTATTAATATAAAATTTTGAGGGATGATTTTAATCTCTTTTAGAGTAGATCAAGGCTTTCTTGCACGATAATTAACTTACTAATAACATTGAATTGATAAATTACAAGTTGTAAATCAAATCACTTCAATTTTATATGAAATGTGATAATCAGTTAAATTAATTTAAGTAATAATCTCAGAAAGCTTATTTATTTTAATAAATGATATGAAATAGAATAATAACTTGTAATTTCCAACTTGTAAAGTTTCATTTATAATAATTAGTTCAATTGCGTGCAAGAGAGATGATCAGCACTGGATAATTAGATAATCATCTTTAGTAACGAAAGGGTTAAAATTATCGATTTATATCTCTACGATTCTATTAAAAATTTGTCGAAAACGTAGCTGCTGTGATAGCAAAAGAAGAATCGAACGAGAGAAAAAAAGAAGAAACTTTTCAAGAGAGTCAATTTTCATATTTACATTCAAGAAGGGAAAAAAAGAAAAAAGATATGGAAGAATAAGAGATAGAGAGATGAAGTAAATTATTATGACAAGAATAGGTAGAGAAGAATATGTAAAAAGAAAGACAGAGATGTAAAGACTGATTGTTTATTGTAAACAGATAGTTAAGGCACAGTGGCTAACAGTTGTTCGATTCGTTTTCTTATTTTTTTATAATTTGTAAAAAAATTAATAAATTTGTAAAAAAAATACTACATCTTTCTCTTCAAAGAAATAGTAAATAGAGTGAAGAAAAAAAAAAAGAAACAATCAAGCAACTGTTAACTTACAACGAGAGATTAAAGTTAACTTTGTATCCTGAAAAAAAAAAAAGAAATTTTATATTAATTCGCAAGATATACAGAATGGAAATACGTGATTACAGTCTCGTGTACATATTTAGATTTAAATGACTATAGCACTTGAGAATCACAGCATGAGAAGAATTACGCATTGTTCTCGTTGTTTATAGTTTTCGTAGAATAGATCCAGGTAACGATAGGTGGGAAGACTAGACTAGAAGTGAGAGAATATAAGAGGAAACGCGGTTTCCTGATCGAAAGTGACGCAACATGTGCACTTCCGGTTTTTAATGGCGCGTCTTTTTCCTTGAATATTTAGATTGTTCTTTCAATACATGGAGAAGTATTGAGTGTTGAATTCAAGATGGTTTTATCGACAAGTAAAACAGAAATGTAGATAGAAGTAGACAGAAGAGGAGAGAATGAAGAGATAAGGAAGAAAAAGTAGAAATTGAAGTAGAAATTTGGAAAAAAATTTTACTGAAATATGAAATAGAAAGAAGAACGAAGGAAAGAATAAATAGTTTGCAAATAGTAAATATAGAATAGATATAGAAAGAAGAAGAAAAGAATGAAATACATAGCATTTGGAGTACTTTTCCATAAACGAAGCAAGAAAAAAAATATTTTTAAACGAAAAGAGAAAGTTCAAAAATAAGAAAATAGAAAAGATAAAATAAAAATTTAGAATAGAATGGAGATATAGAATAGTTGTAGGATAATAAAAGAAAATTTAGATAAGTATTTACAAAATTGGAAAGATGAAAAAGAAATGAAAATGAAGAAGAAATAAATATAGATCAAATTTATAATGGAGAAAAAAATATATTGAAAAAAAGAAATAAAGTCAAAGAAATTAAAGTAAATAATTTTTCAAATAGTAGATATAGATGAAGAAAAAGGAAAGTTCAATGAGAAAAACTAAAGTAATAAAAGAAGAATGATACTAATATTTACAGAAAATAGTAAAAAAAATTTTTAAATACAGAAAGAAAAAGTATGATAAAATGTAATGATAATAGATAGAAATAAGTTCAGAAAAAGAAAACACACCATAAGAAATAGTATAATATACAGAGGTAGAAAGTAGTATTTAAATTCGATAAAAGAAATATGAAAGAATTTATGAAAGAAAAAATAGAATTGAAAAAAATTAAATAACAGATATAGAATAACAATAAAATAAATCACAAACATAATAGAAGATAAAAGAACATGAACAAGAAAATAAGATTGAGAAAACGGAAATAAAGTAATAACAGAAAGAACAACAGAACAAGAACAGATTAGAAAAAAAGAAGAAATAGAGATCATAAAGGAACATAAAACAGCTAAAAATAGCAATAGTATAGAAGCAGTTATAAAATAAATCATTAAAGAAATTAAAAAAAAAAATAATAATGTTATTAGCACTCAGAAATGAAAATGAAGTGCTATAACATAAAATTTCAGGTACTTCAGTATATTCTTGAGTTCATAAAAAAAAATAAAATAAAAGTTAATTAAAACTGAAATACAAGGAAATAAAAGAGTATGAGAAATAAAAAAGATTTAAAGTCAGAAGTGAAAGTCTGTCATTAAAATAGTAACATAACAAAAAGAATAGATTCTATAGTGATATAATAGTTGTAACAAGAGAAAGTAAAATATATAGGAAAAGAGATAAATAAGGCGAGTATAGACTTGAAATAGAGAAAAATAAATGGAAAATTATTTGTAGCAAGATTAATTTTGACATAGTAATACTGATAGAGGTATTTGAGAAGACTAAGTAGAAAAAGAATAATTTAAAAAATAAGAAAGAAAATTCAGGATTCGAAGGAATAGAAAGATAAAAAGTAAAATTTCAATAATAATTGAAGAAAAATGAAGAAAGAAGAAAAATGATGTACTAGTATAGAAACATCATTTTTATAGAAAAAGAAAAAAAATTATAAAAAGAAGAACAAATGAATGAAATTTGACAAAAAGAATTGTACTGATAGGTAAAATAAAAATAAAACAATGAATAGAAAGGAAAGAAAGAAAAACAAGAAGGCAATACATAAAAAATTTAGTTGTCTCACAATTTCAGTAATCCATGGTAATATTATTTTGACAGATGATCAAAGAAATTGCGAGACATATGGAAAATAAAACGATAGAAAGGGAGCTATCACAGAGCGTTAAATTCGTGGAGAAGGTTAAAATCGCTCTGATCGAATGTTTCTCAATTAGGCTCACGATTAAATCTAATCCAAAAATATTCATTGAAGAAATTCAATAACAAATTTAAATTTCTACTTTCGATTCATCAAAGACTACTACTCAATTTTGTATTTTCTAATATCAGATCGATTTCAAATTCTTCCGTAGATATCAGCAAATCAATTTCGAAAAATAATTTGTAATAAAAATTGACGAGTAAACGATTAACTGCTGAAGAAATTATTTTAAAAAAAGAAAAAAGAAACAGTTTCACATTATCGATTCAAAATTAAGTCCAATTTAGATTCGCACGAGTTAAATACTTTAAATAATTTTTGATATTTGCTATTAAAAAAAAGCGATCGTTGTCATCTCGATGGTTCAATTATACGAATTGTTAGATCATATTTTAGCAATTCTGTATCCAGAGAACGTGACGCCGTCTGATATTTTTCCACTATCAACGAAGACGGCTAGCTGATCTCCAAGATCGACTTCCAGCAAGATCAAATTAGCACCACCTCCTGCACCAGTGCCAACCACAGGTCTCCAGCTGTCAGAATTGTTTTGTTTCTTTTTCAAAGTTAATCGTAGATCGGTGCTTCCATATCCGGCAAAGCTGAATTGATACAGGCCTGGACAGTTGGTGATGAAAATTCCTGTTTGGGGTACGTAACCCACGCCTTTGTCGACCAGTGTCTCGGCGAACACAGCTTTGGCATGCTGGTGGATCAAATAAAAATTTGATTTTTTTAAATAAATCCTCAAATTTATAAGCTGATTTTTTTTTGAAAATGATTAGATTCGGTTCAGAGTCTGTCTTGTTAACTGATTAAATTCAATTGTTGAGATCAGTTAACAAATCATTTCTATATTTTTTTTCATATGAAATATCTTTTTATTTATAATACGAATACTTTTGAAAAAATCTTGAAAACTGTTATAAATTTGAAAGATGTTTCTTTTTGCATAATTATCAGCAAAATTTTATAAATGACAAGTTCAAATAAATAAAACGAAAATTTAAAGACAAATTATAAAGCAACGGATTATTCTATTCAATAATAATAATGTTGATAGTGTAAAATAAAAATTTATAACCTATACCTCTCAACTTATCGATTGATCAATATCGTAACAAGTTAAAGTTATTGCAAAATTGTTATGCAAGAGGAGGTTGTGGAGAGGATGTTTATTGACGATGTTTTAAAACATCGTGTATTTAAATTAAGAATTTAAAAAAGCCTATACGTAATTTATGTAAATGATCCTCTAAGATTTCGTCACATTTTTTTCTTTTCCTTTTTTAATATAAAATTTAAAAACTCGGATTTAAAATACTCACATCGACAGAAGCATGGGTCGCCGAAAAAGCAATAACTCCGGTGCAATCCACCGCAGTTGACAGTTTCAACGGGTTGACAGCCGAGGCTTTGGAATTTGGTGGATCCGGTATAGCCGCCTCCGCCAGGATAGATGATGTTGCTATCAACACTAGCCACACCACCCTGTAACAAATATTTTTACGTGGTCAGAACGATTTACGATATAAGTCACGATATAATAATAACACGAATCAAATTACATTTTGTTTATCGTTTAAATTTCTCAAACGTCGCGTGAACACGTTCGCGAAGGAATGGCAATCTTTTTCACGTTTCCATGCCACACCACTCGGTAGAATTATAATGATAATTATCGATGACTCATAAGTTGTCGGCTCTCCTCGTTAAATCTTATTTTTGTAACATTGATTACATTGGAACGCGATACTATTGAGAAATATATACGTCAATCGATTTAATTTAATGAAACATGACATGATTTTAATTAAAATATCCCGTTATACAATTATTAATTAATTCAATCATTTTTACTGCAAAAATTTAACATCGTGGAAACGATATATAATAAATTTTGAAAAAAAAAAATGCATTGTTAGAAAATGTGGAAATATTTTTCGTATCCATTGCGAAAAACGTTATTATATTAATACAGTATATTAATACAGAAGAATAAAAAAAAATTATCAAATACAGTAGAAAAATAAATCTTCGTTTTGTTCTTACGTAAGAAGTACGTAGCTCGAATCATTTTTAATTTCATCTCGTTTATTTTTTCTTCCCCCCCTCCTTTTTTTTCTTCTCTCGTTTGAATCACGTTTTAAATCACAGATCTGACCATTCTTGGCAAAGTTCAACCCGGTTTACGGACTTTCACAGCTCGCGGCTATCTCCCCATTCGCTTCACCTTTTTCACCTTTTTCATTTTTCTTTCTTATTCTCATTTACACACACAGATCGGACTACTTTCGTTTTCGGACGTACCAGTTTCGGTTATCTCTGTTCTCCGATGAAATCGGTTGCTTTCTTGCACCAGAGATTCCAACTGAGAACTCGATGGATGCTGAATGGAGCTTTTTTTCTTTTTTTCATTGAAATGAAATATCGATTAACGTTCGATTCTTCTTCTCTCAATTTTCCCTCAGCTCTTCTTCCGATCTTTTAATCTTTCGTTTTTTCAATCGTTCAATTTTTTTCTTTTTTTAATTTTTTAATCGAATTGAATTTCATAATTTCATAATTTTTCAGAATTATTTTTATCGAGATAAAATTGTACTACAAAGTTTTGCTTCTCCTCATTTTTTTTTTTTATATGTCGTGTGCAATGTGATATAATAATCTCGAACAGAGATGTTTCAACAAATCGAGCGTAAAATTCATTGCAATTATCGGTCTTGCTCTATTAATCGCATATCTGGCACGATGAAAGCAATAAGAAGCATTCATTCTTCTCGTCAAGTACGATCTACCAGAAATGCCAATCGTATTAAACTTTCTATCTTATATCGAGAGAAAGTCACGTTATGTACAATATACAATTAATTTTTTACCTTTTACCTTTTTATCTATTTATTGCATCCGCTTCAATAATAATTTTATTCTTATGTGTCCCTTCGAATGTTTACAATAATTCATAATAATTCCAATTTGATTAACTTCGTTTAATTGGCATCTGTCTTATCTTCGTTAATACACAAATAATTACCGAAAATTAATTAATACAGAGAGACAAACGCGGCATTTTCTTAACAAGAATAAAAAAGAAAAGAGAAAATTAATCAAATAAATTTTCTAAATTGAATTGAAAAATATTTCTTTTTCTAAATTCGATTGATTCGAGCATTGATTGATTAAAATCTTGTGGAGAATGGAGGAGGAAAGAATGAACTGCATAATTAAAAGTGAGTGTGTAATACTAATGCACTTTTAACCCCTGAATCGCATTTACCCGTGAAAGATAAAATCAGAAATCCTTTCACTTTCGTGAGTTTCAAGGCGACAATCTCACGTGCGATACGTTAATGTCGCCCACGATAATTGGAATGATACAATAAACACGACAATTCGTGACTTCGTTTCAAAGATTTCTAAGGAAAAAAAAAAAAAAAAAGGAAAAGGATCTACACGAATCCTTTTTCGATTCGAATCGTTTTTAATCAATCATCAATTATGAAGTAATCGACAAAGTTTAATTAAAATTATTATGGGAATTTAAATATAGATATGCAAATTTATGTAAATATTACACGATATTTAAATACTTAAATCTTGTTATTGAGTTTCTTGGAAGAGAATAAATTTTTTATTGCTTCGTTGTAAAATTTTAAAGATGAATTGTTTTACATTCTGTTCTCCACTATTAATTTTTTATATTATTAGCGTGAAAAATTTTCCCCGTTTTCTATTAAAAAGAAAATTTTAAAATTTTAAATATATATTTCAGATCGATAAAATAAATTGCCTGGTGAGTTACAGAAAATGGCGTTAGAATATTACATCGCTCGTATTATGCAACGAATTTGCATACATTATGACACGATATGCAACGTGATCCATTTATCGCGAAATACAAATTAATGAGATAAAGTCTGCGTGCTCTCCTTGACGTACCTACTCGAAAGAGAGTTCTTAAAGATCGATGTTTATTACTGTTGAGCAAAAATATTCCATAAAATATTAATATATTTGTGTAGAAAATTCTCAACTTAAAAAATTGTAAAAAATAAACTGGTGCTAATGATGTGTAAATTATTCCTATATTTTATAACGTAAATAATATTCATAGTATTCATCGAGTTGATATCGTAATATTATAAAGATTATAATGTTTTCACGTAGAATTACACGTAGAGCAGTATTTTATCTGAATATATATAAAAATATTTTAAAAAAGTTTGTGATTACTACTAACCTCTTTAAGCTTATGATTACCTTCGAATTAAAAATTAAATCAATGAATTGTAAAAATAATCTTAAATTCTGAAATGCTACAAATTTAATTGGTATTATTATTGCTGAAAAGATATTGGATAGAGGCTTTATCAAAAATCAATGTATTTGATTTTTCGAAATCTTCGCTCTTTTAATTCAATTCTTCGTTATCGCTCATAATGACTCATTGGAATATTAGATTAAACTAAAAAAAAAAAGGAGGGGAAGAGGAAATGAATCGGTTAACTTCTACAATCAAAAACTTATTTTATATAATTATTTATAAGTATGTTCAATCAAAAATATTACGATAAATTGATGATGATTTGTTCAAAAAAAACTATTTAATGGATGGAAAATATTAAAAAAATCCTATTTCTATAATAAATTTCAATCAAATTATCAATTTACTTCGTAATATGAAAAGAAAGAAATTAAGAAATTAATGATTTTAAAGGGACTCACATGATGGTAGAAAGTGGTGTGGCTGTGGCGGACGTCCCCAATCTCGTTGGACAGAGCAACTTGTTCGATGTTCCAAGTAAGTTGAACCAGGTGAAGTCGACGCAACGCCTTTATATTACCTTGGAGAGTGGACAGCTTGATGCCACCTCCAATGTCTTTCCTCCCTCGTCTCGTTCCTTTCCTTTTCCTCGTGTCGAATAAGTAAAGTATTCTGCTCTTGAGTCCCCTCTCTTCCTTCCTCCCTCCCTTCCTCTCTCTCTCTTTCTCTCTCCCTCTTTCTGCCAACATTAGTAGAGAAATAGATAGTCAAATAGCTCGAAGCTCAGATTGGAAAGCTCTGTGATATGGTATTAAATAGAAACGAAAGTGGAAATCTAGAATTTATTTTTTTAATTTTCAAATTATTATTTTTGTAAATAAATATCGTTATCGAAAAAATTAATTTATTAAATTTTTGGAGTTGATGAAGATTGAAAGTAGTAGTTTGATTTATTTTGATTTTTATTCAAATTGGGAGATGAAGATTTTGCTATTTTTCACTTTTAGAAATCTTGTATATTGTAGTCTTAATAATTTAATAAATTACACGTTTTATTAATATTTTGATCTAATTTCATTGAGGAATGTTTTATAATAAATAATTTGAAAAGTAAAAAATATAAATATAATAATGTATTGTAATGTATGTTTTGACTAAAAGAAATGGAAGGAAAAATAAATTTAAGAAACATTTGATAAAAATAAATCAAAAATACTTACTAAATGATTACAATTTGATATAGATACACAAAATAAATCTATATCTGTATTGTTATAACATTCACTATGCGGAAATGAATATTTATTCGACTAATCTTTGTCTCAAAGTGATATAGAAATTAATAGAGAAATAAATTTCTCTGAACAAACGCCATTAATCTGGTCTTTCAAGTGACATTTCAATTTATGCATTATCTTTATTATGCGTAATGCAGAAGGTAAATTATATGCAATTATCTGAAAAAATTCTATGGGTAAATTTAATGCGAATAGAAATAAAATTTCTATTTTGGTATACAATGGCGTAATTGGATATAAGCATAATGGTAACTAGGACAATCTGAAATAATTATACTTACATGCTCGATATATAAATTATTCCACTTTCAATTTTTCAATTTTCTAAGTTTCCCAATTTCTTCTATCTTCAGCGTGTTCCAATTCTTTTTTAATTTTGAATCTTTCAATCCATCGATGATATTTCGAATTCTTCTTCGTTTTTTTCTTTTCTTTTCTCCTTCTAGAATAATACCGAATAAAATAATTGCATGAATATTATGATACGATCGAATATTTTAATAAAATTATTCATATCTTGAGATTTCAATCGCTTCCTCGATATTATATCGAATCAGTTATTTAGTTGCGCGAACATGGGTTATTTAATATTATCGTGTTTATGCAATTGCCAATGGCATAATTTATGCTATATATCTTCGAACAACAAACTTCAAAATATTTTTTCCCTATAATCGTATGCAAATGTATGCAAAAATTGGCACACCTAATCTTTGATCTCAGAAATAAAGTTCCACTCTAGGATATCGATTGCTATGTATCACGAAAAAAATAATAATAACTTTCACTTTGGCTTTCGATTCGTGTTATCTTGTTGTATCGAGTTATTCCTTGATTCTGCATCGCGTTCACCGGTTCTACGCATTTCTGAAAGTAATCTTGATTTTTTTTTTTTTTTTAAAGCGAATTTATTACATTTACACTTTCTATAAATATGTAACGAAATAAAATCATTTAACATTAGAAATTTAACATTAGAAATCTATAGAAATACGAGTGCATCTTTCTGACGAAAATAATATGAATTGCAAATGATTATTTATTTGAAAGAAAAATACTATACTGATTGATTTTTTAAGCTTTGAAATAATGCAAATTGTATAATATATAAAAAATATTATCATTTTTTTTTGCATAAAAATGATATCATCAAATGTATAAAATAATAATTATGCAAAAATAACGCTATTCCTTACATTGATTATGTTAATTTACGTGATGCAAATATATTTCGACAGGAAATGATTGCCTGTATCTAGTCAAACAACTGATCTTTCTCTGAGAGAATGTACAAATTTTGCGTAATCTATGAATTGATGGTAGAAAGGGTCTGAAATGACATATGAAAGCACGAGTCATAATTGTGGTGGTCACTAGCCTATTACTAGAGAAAATTTCATAAATTACAAACTTTCCTTTAAATATTATGGTATTCGAGTATTTTTGTTTTATAACAGATCACCTATCAATCACTTTTACATAAATATAATTTGTATAATTAAAAATTTGACAAATTGTAATATTTTATTTGAAATTTTGATTGATCTTAAATTAAAAAATCAAATAATATATTATAAACGAAATTATTTTTTTCCTAATTTCTTAAACTACTTTCTCTTTCATTTAATAGAAATACTTTTTTTTGTTTTATAATGGATTGTGATAAGAGATTGCTTATTAATCAATATATTACGTAAACAAGATTCATATCAAAAATTGGTTAAATTAGAATTTAAAATTTTAATATGGAAGGAAAAACTCTAAGGTGAACAAGTTTTCTATAATTTAAAGATATTTACATTATAAATTACTGTGTTTGTATGCCGTTTCCCACTTAAGAAGCTGATGAAAATGTATCAGTGGGTCATTCGAGATAGAGTTTACTTATAGTGACCTCCATTTTCACTTCTTCGCCTCTCTATAGACTCTCCATTTCTTTCTATGGGAAATGGAACATCTAAAAAATCAAACAAATAGCCTTAAATCAATTTTTCTCAATTATTTCATTTTATCTAAATATAATATTTTCTTAAAAATAATGTAAATAAAGGTTACTTTTTTTATTGTTTCTATATTATATTATAATTATTAATCAATAACTAATTATTAAAGAACAATAATTATTATTTGCTATCAGAAAACGAAAATTAATTACCAATTAAAAAATAATTGGTGTTAAAGAATAATTATCTATAATATTATTAATAAATTATAATATTAATATTTATTGACAATTAATATTAATTACTAATATTATTTATAAATTATATTAATTAATATTAATTAATATTAATTAATATTCAGAGTATATAGATAAATAATATTAGTAAAATTTTATATCAATATATTCAATGAGTGCATAGTCGATTGATGTCAGACAAGGATAGAAGAGGGTAGGAAAAGGATAGATATAAAATAAAAATTAGGGAATGAGCGCCATCTCCAGAGTGCCGCAAATGAAACAAATTAGAATAAGAAGGAGAGATATAAAAAAAGGACAGAGATAGAATAAGAATTGATAGTAATCGCCATCTCTCGAGTGTCAAAGATATTTCTATAAAAAAAAGATAGAAGAGGGGATCAATCATCTTAAGAATACCAACTTAAGAATATTTTTTAATATTTTTTCTTTTCATAAAAGATGGCGCAAAGAGTTCAATTCTTATCTTATTTTATGATGTTTTAGAAGAAATATCTTTAACATTCAAAAGATGTCACTAACTATTAAATCTATTTCTATCTTTTTCTATTATTTATTTCATTTACAACACTTTCGAAATGTTTTATGTATATTTTTATTTTTTTTTTATGTTGTTTGAAAGAAGTAAGTATACATGAAATAAGTATTAAAATTAAAATGTTTTTTTTTCTTATATGGCAACTAAAAAGATAAGTATGGAAAAGATAAGTAAAAGATAAAATTAAAAAATTAATTTTATTAAATTTTTTGAAAAATTTTGAACATTAAGTTATATTCTTCCAACAGAAAGTCGAAATTTTAGGTGCAAAAATTTTTCATTTATTTATAGTATTTCGTATCAGAAGAATATAATTAGGAAAAAGATGATATGTTAAAATATTCTGAAGTTTGTTTTACTTATCTATTTTATATTTACTTTTCATACTTATCTCTTAAAATTATTACACTTTTTGAAACTTAAATAAAAAAAGTACAAAACATATATATTTTTAATAAAATTTTTAGATGAAACTTGCAATTTCATTTTGGAGTTTTGCCAATATGATAAATATCTTCATTTTTAAATAGAAAGTAATCACGCTTTTCCTAAATGAAGAAAGTTTAACTTCAAAAAGATTAAATGGACAAATGTATTTTTTTTTCTTATTTAATAACATAAGCAAAATACATTTTACATAATATACATGCAATCTAAATAAAAAGAAAAGTACAAAATAAGTAGAAATAGATTTCTTCTTTTTTTTTTTTGTACAATTATCATATATTTACTCTAAGTTTGTAACATTACATTAGACAACCACAATGAAATGGCACGATTATCGAAGCTTCGACCTAAAAAGTGTGCAAAATTGACAATAAAAGGAAATTCTCATCGATGTAAAAACGATCTTGCAAGGATTTGTCGCAATAAACCCTTAAATTCTAGTAATAATAAGCGGCAAATAAATAATAATTGCATCGAGAAGAAGCGGGGAAATAGTAAATAGAAAGATAGGAACGAAATGAACACGGAGTCAAGATAAGCTTAAAAGTAAGTAGTGCACAAAGAAGGTTTAAATTTTCCCGCCATTGATAGGATGTACGAAAAAACTAATAAAAAAGATAAACATATTCAGGAATACATATTACTGTTATACGATATTACCCTATAAAATATATACAAATATAAATCGCCAATAATTAATTAAAAAAAATTATTCAATAAAAATAAACGATAATAATATTCGTTGAATTTCAGTTTGAATTTCAACTATCTTTTTGGACCCAGCTTCTCGTTCCCTTAAATTTATTATATTTTTTCACGCTTTCTTATTTATTTTATCTTTTTGTACAAATTTCAATTTCGACTTTTCTCAATTTTTTCTGTAAAAAAATAATCTATCAAAAATTTGATAATTGTCAATATAAATATATTCTCTTTTGTATCTAATATCAACAAATAATTATAGATTTTTAAGATCAAGATTTATCATTAATTTCTTCTGTAAAAAAAAATATTAATCTCTCTTATTCTCTTACTCTTGTTTTCTTCATTTTTTTCAGACTTAACGATTATGTACAACAATATATTTCCTTCATTTGGCAGTAAAAATTCAGATCAGAAAGGGTTAATTTTTGCGTTTGCTTTTGTTTTCCTTGCTTAATTCTTTTTTTTTTTTTTTTTT